TTCGGGTTTGGGGGCTTAGGGTTTAAGGTTTAGGGTTTAGGGGTTGAGGGTTTAAGGTTTAGGGTCTATAGTTCCCCTTAAGTAGATAGAATCTGGGGTAATATATGGGATAATGGAAAAGAAAATGGAAACGACTATTTAAGGGTTTGGGGTTTAGGATTATAGTCCCCCTTAAGTAGATAGAATCTGGGGTATATGGGGATCTTCTTATAACATACCCAAAGCCATATTTGATCTACTTAAGGGGGAAGCTAACCTTGAACTAGTCGTATTTAGGGTTTAGGGGTTTAGGGTTTAAGGGTTTAGGGATATGAGCCACAATCTAAACTGCTAGAAGGAGTTATATAAAGTATTTTTTGGGTTTAGGGCGTAGGGTTTTAGGTCTAACCTCCTTAAAGGGGGCTCTATACGGGATTATATAGGGAACTGCCATAGGGTATGTTAAGGGGGATACTTTAGACTAGGGCTCGTCCGGGTTGTTCTCAAAATTCTGGGCCCCTCTTGGTTATGGAATATATTACGACACCTTGTATGTAGGGGTGCCAAAATGGGACCCTGATTTGGGGAACTAAACATATACCCGAAAGGTTTAAGCGCTTCCTTGTCCGTTGAGTACCGTAAGGTTGCGAGGTTATCCACTAGCGCCTGAGTAAGCCCTTAGAGTACTGGCTGACGTTTCACTATCAGAAGTCTGGCGAGCAGGATATGTGGCAAAAAAATATGCTCAACGAGGCTCGTGACAAACGGCCATGATACCGACACACAAGCACCCTAGCAGGGAACCTCAACCCTAAACCCTAAACCCTAAACCGCGTGTTGTTATGAGGAAGCTGGTCTTCACTCGGCCCCTTTTTGGGTGGGGGGCTGCGGGTGTAATGAGTAGGCTTGGGGTTGAGAACTTAGGAGACGTGGAACTGTAAATATGCTCAGCACATGTATGTACTAAAGGGGCTAAATAACTTACCAATACCATTTTGAGGTTCATTTGAGGTACCGTAGACCATGCGTATAAATGAGGAATATGGAACCATAATATTGGTAATTATATTAGCCCCTATAGTTTTGTAGAAAGTCTTGATGCATCCTGCAGCTTAAAGAGTTTGCGCTACGCTTGTTTTCCAGGAATGGGGTACCGTGTTTTTGCGATTTTCAGGGGGGTAGGCCTCCACAACCACCACATACTCTTACTTGGCTGTTAAATTAGTAGGGAATATGGGAACCCCATACTTCAGCGATCCCCCAAACCCCTATATAATCCCTATATAACCCTAGAAGATATTAGTTTCCATTTTCTTTTCCATTAACCCTAAACCCTAAACCCTTAGTAGAGGTCCTAAGTCCCTTTATGCTCCCCATACATTGTATTGCCTGATTCCCTACTACCATGGGCTATTAGACCCTAAAATTCCCTATTAGAACCCTATTAGGGGTAGATTAAGATACCCTAAAGGTCTAATAGCCCATAGTGGTACTAACACCCCGTCAGTCATTTGACACGTCAGAGTCAGGTTGGCTTATGTCCTTACTGACCGCGGGCCGGGAGCGATTGAAATGGCAAGTGTTCGGTGCATCAACAAGGGTAGAGTAGTAGAGGAGAAGCATCCCTCTTCCAGCACATGAGACTGTCTACAAATAGTTCATTTCTCAAAAGAGCGGACTGGACTAGTTCCTCAGTGACCCAAGCACAACGTTTATTTGTGCAATCAAAGCTTCTCTCTCGACACCTTCACGCGTGACGGCCACCCATTGATCCTCGGGACTGCATGTGAACATCAACCAAATCTCCGCGGAACGCTCCTGTTGGGGGTAGCCTCCATTTTGATGCCCTAAACCCTAAACCCTAAACCCTGCTTTGACAGCGCCCTTCAGAGCAACCATTTTTCTGAATGGCATCCTCCATGGATGTTGAGGGAAAATGGTACAGTCTCCCAGATCACCACATATCCACCCCAAACCCTAGACCCGAAAGCGGGCACAACAGCTTGGCAACAATACTCCCAAAAGCCTGCACTGCACCCCTGCCACTTCCTGACGACTAAGAAGCCGCGCATTACAGCCTACAAGCATCCCCCGCAATCTATAAGGTTCGGTTCAGGGTTTAGGGCGTAGGGTTTAGGGTAGTGGAAAGCATATGGCTTTGATGCAGGGGCCATATGAGTGGAACAAGGTTTTGAGATATTTCGAAACAAGGGGATTATTTCATATACCCACACCCCTAAACGGAGGACCCCCATTACTTTCATATGGGCTATACTCTAAGCTCTAAGTATCCCATATAACCCCCTGTAGAACCCCCTTTAAGGAGATTAGACCCTAAACCCCAAACCCTAACCCCGCCCACCCCAAACTAAGGACCCTATGAAAGTCAATATGGCTTCTACACGATCCTTCTGATTTCTAATTGTAAAATTATTACTAACTACGTGGCACTTAGGACCCCTACTGAGGGTTAACCCTTAGTTACCTATGATAGGAATAGAAGGGAATCCCAAAGGGTTAAGGGTCTAAGGTCCAAGCTATAAACCCTAAACCCTAAACCCTAAACCTTATAATATTGGGCTTACCTTGCGACCCTGAACCACGCCTCGCAAACCCTCAGCCGCGAACTGAAAGCACGAGACGGTTAAAGAATAAAACGCTCAAGGGCTTAGGGTTATAGTCCCCCTTAAGTACATAGAATATGGGTTATATGGAGATCTTATTTTATCATACCCAAAGCCATATTCTATCTACCTAAGGGGGACTATACCCTAAATCCAACACATGACAGGTTGTGCTTCACGAGGCTTCCAGTTGTAAACTCACGTGGTACCTTTGAAAACAGTTTTAGTCTCACGTTGCGCATGTGATGCTTTCCAGCATAAGCTCCACGTAGCCCCCTGTTGTGCCTGTGACGCTTCCAAGTATAAAAAAAAAATCCCCTACAACCCCTAGACCTTAACATCCTCAACCGGGGAAGCCCTTAACCCTGGACACCCCAAACACTGTAAAAGCTACAGACACCCAAAACCCTGGTCCTCACCAGGGTAAATCGCCCCATGGCCCTGCAGAAACGCTCGCGGTTCCTGCTATACGCGGTTTCGGGCTTAGGTTTTGGACTATATGCTTATACAAGGCAAGGGTTTGTTATGGGTTGTTAGCGCATGTATACAAGGTCCCTTAGGAATATGGGTGAAAGTATTCAACTTGAGTACTGCCCCCACGCAGTAGCAGTTGGATGATATCTACATTCATTTTAGATATAACCCTCAAACTTGCCCCTACTAATTACAGACTGTTACTGGGTGGGGGTGGGGGCGGCACTCAATTCATAATATGAGCTATAGTCTAAACTCCTCGTATCCCCCTCAATAAACTCTTTAGTACGCTGCGCTATACTCCCCCATATAAACCTTTCAGGAGTTCAGACCCTAAACCCTAAACCCTTTGTGATCCCTGATATAACCCCCTTCAAGGAGTTTAGACTTTAGCTCATATGTTGGGTGTCGACTTCGGCGTACAAGCCCTGAACCCTAAACCCTAAGAGAGTAAACTCCTACCACCCATGAGGCTGAGGAGTGGCTCAGGGTTTAGGGTGATTAAGGGTTTAGGGTTTAGGGTGCTTATGGGTCTAGGGTTTAGGGTGATTAAGGGTTTAGACCCTAAACCCTAAACTTTAGGCTTTGAAGCTTAGGGTGTAAGATTTAGGAATGAGGGATTCGCCCTAAACAGGGTTGCTCGAAGGTTGCGCTGCAGCCCTGACTATGAATCCAACCGCGAACCCTTTTAGGCTTTAGGGTTCAAGGTTAAGGGTAAAACATGTTAATGTAGGCGCGCATCTGGTTGAGGCCTTAGTGTACGGTTCAAGGCTTCACGGAGGTTTTGCGTGCCATTCGAGGCCTGCAACTTAGTGCTTTGCGTCACACTTCCACATTCCAACCCTAAACCCTAAACCCTATATAATCAATTATAATAGTTTCCATGTGATTTTCCATTATCCCTATGTAACCCCTTAACTCTACACAGGGTTGTAGGTTCTGGGGCTTGCAGCAGGAGAGATGCCCAAGGTACTTCCCCAAGTACGTGATTCATGTCTAGGTCTACGGTTTAGGGTTTAGGGTTTAGTGTACTTGAAGCATCCAAGACAAAGTGTCAGTCCACGCAACCCTCCACGACTATCTCCTTGGATTTGGGGTTTCAAGTCCTGGGCGCTCTGTGTTTGAGGGTGCTTGTGAGGAATCGTTGCCGGAATGCTTCTCAAAGGCGAATCCAAGCCGTACGTGCATGCAGATACTTCTTGCAAGCAGGGTCCTCCTACAAATGTCTAGGATGCTTGCTTTTCGGGACCGGCGGGACCTCAGTCTTGAAAACCTTATCTTATATGAGCTATAGTCTAAACTCCTTCTATTCCCCTTTTGATTTCCCCTATAATGCTCCCGCTTATAAAATCCCCTACAAACACCCTTTAAGGAATTCAGATCATAGCTCATCGAAATGCACGCTGAGACCTGAAACCTGAAACCAAGATCTGAAGTCAGGGAATTTCCTTTGTACCCTGAGGGTTTGTGCCCTTGGGTTCGGGATCCTAAGCCATGGAATATGGCCCTTAATTAGGGTATCTGGGACCCAAAACCATGGTTACACACATGAAGGGTAACAGTTTGAAGTCTTTGATGGAGAGAGAGCCCCACCCTAAACCCTAAACCTTAGACCCTAAACCTAAACCCTAAACCCCCCTAAACCCCTAAACCCTAAAACCCTAAGCCCCAGGCGCCTCAGTGTCTAGGAGCCTTCCACCCTTGGATTCGGACCAGCTCTTGGCGGCCTCCAGTTGAGTTCTAGGCTAAACTCCTCCCAAGGGAGGCTCTTTCGGGGATTAAACCCTAGACCCTAAACCCTAAATCCCAAGCCCTAAACCCTAAATTATAATCCCTAATCTAGGGTTTGGGGTTTAGGCTTTAGGATTTAGGGGCTGATAACCCCCCCCGTTTAGGAGTTTGGACTATACCTCGGTCGTCTGAATTAAAGGGCTACGCTATTGTTTGCCGTGTTGGGGGGATTTGGGGGTTGCGGGGTTGTCCGGGCCCGCGGCCTGGGGCCTTTAGGGTTTAGGGTTAGGTCTTTAGGCTTAAGCATTGTGACGGCGGAATCTCAAAAGCCCTGCACGACCCCAAATGGTTTCTACATTGGAGGTTGTTAGCATTGAAGTCTAACAAGCTTAGGTGCAAGCCCAAGACCCCTAAACTAGGATCAAACATAGCATTCACGGATAACCCCTGCCCCAAACAAAACCCCATAGTAAGAAATACCCAGAACTTAGTACAACGAAAATGGCGGAAATGTATGAGCTTTAGTCTAAACTCCTAGTATCCCCTTACTACGCCCCACATTAGTCCCCTAGATAATCCGCCATATAACCCCCTTTTAAAGAGTTGAGAACATATCTCATATGCTATGAAGAGGGGTGCGGAGGTTCATTATTTGCTGGAAGGGGTTTGCGGGAAGGGGTTAGCGGAAAGGGCTTAGTGGTAAGGCGTGTGGGGCCCGAGGGTCGGCTGCTTCTTTAGTGAATATAATTAGTGCTGAGGCTTTAGGATTTAAGGCTTGTGTAGCTATATGCGAGGGAAGGAGGAGGGTTGTCTTAGTTTTTGGTCCCGTTTTGCGGTGCCTCTAGCAGTGGAAGGCATGGTCGGGAATTGTTGTGGGGGTGGTGGAGGTGGCGTGGAATGTATATACAGATTACATATAGGTATGTACGCAACTATATGTGGATACACAAGGGCATGAAAACTTTCAATGACCAGAGTATGTTGTAGTTTCCCAAAATAGTGGGGCCCTCATATAGACCCCAAACTATTATATTCCTTATTGTAGGGACCCCCCAAAAAGGTACCCCTAATTTTGGGAAACCCCCCATAGAGTAAACATTAAGCTTCGTGTGTCTGTCGGAAAATAGCAGTACCGGAATAATGATGAGCCTTAGAGCCCGGAAGACCCAATTCCCAAAAGGAACATATGAGCTACTGTCTAAACTCCTAGTATCCCCCTTCATAAACCCTATAGTAGTAACCTCTATTACGCCCTATATAATCCCCCTTTAAGGAGATTAGACTATAGCTCATATTTTCTCGACATTGGATACCTCCCAAAAGCAAGTGTGGACACCCATAAGAGCACCTTACGCACTGAGAATCAACCCTACCCAGAGTGGGCATCCGGGTGACAACCCTTGTTTTTGTATTGAAGCTTGGTCTTTCCAGCCAACTGCCCTAACCCAAAAAGTGAAACCTAAACATCAATCCCTAAACCCTCGATCCACAACCCCCAATTACCTACTGAAGAGCTGGGTTGCAGTTAAGAAACTTAAGTTAAGCTACTACAAAAAGGGAGCCCTTTTATTTACTATGCACCCATATTATGGGAACTTAACTTTTAGTTCCTTTACAGTAGCCCAGTTATGTGAGCTATAATGAAAACTCCGAGTATCCCGGTTCAGAATACGCCTTACAATACCGCTCAATATGATTCCCTATACAACCCCCTTTCAGAAGTCTAGACCCTAAACCCAAATCCCTAAACCCTAAACCCTAAACCCCATATAATCCCCTATATAATCCCCAGTTAAGGGGTTTTAGACGTTTTAGACTTTTGCAGCTGGAAGGCCCGCCACGTAAAGCTCGTTCCTTGCTTCGACCACTCTGGCACAGATGCAGAGGCGTCGCCTAGGGTGTTTAGGGTTTAGGGT